GGGGAGTGGTTAATCTTACAGTCCAGAAACAGAGAACCCTAGGACCATCAAGAGAGGAACATACAAATATAATGGAGGACCTCATCCAGAGATGAAGCAGCATCAGAGATGGAGGCTGAGATGGGGGCATGGAGAGGGGGAGCGACCGAGGACTCTAGATTCATCAACTAAGAAGAGAAGGACTAAGAACTGGTGGCCAGGAGCAGACTTGCAGAATGTGTTCTTTGGAGATGTAATTTATTATATATGCCTGAGTGGGGTTTTTTTTGTTTGTTTGTTTGTGTGTTTTTTAATAAGTTAAAGTGGATAGAGACAAATACTTTTAACTGATGGTATATAGAGGGGATTATAACCAATGTAATGAAACAAGTTATATGAATGGTTGAATGTGAAACTGATGATGTGCCCTGTAAACTTTCACTCAATGCACAATAAAAACCTTAAATTAAAAAACAACAACAACAAAAAAAAACAATAATGAGACAGTGGAATGAAAAAAAAATTGAATTCAGTTAGTTTAAAGTTAATAATCACAAACATAACTTTAAAGTGAAGTAAGGTATTTATCCCATGAAATTTTGTAAAAATGTCCATCTCAAACCAAGGTATTGACTGCAGGCAGTAGCATGAGAAGAATAGACGTGTGATTTACAATCAAGTATCAGTTATACTTCTGACTCTATCTCTTATAGCTGAACAGTTTGGAATAACTTACTCAACTTCTCTGATTCTCCATCTACCCATTTGTAAACTAAGGTGAATGCTTATCTTGCAGAACTGTTTTGAGGACATAGTATACCATGTGAAGAGAAGTCAGCATAGTGGATGAAATTATAGACACCTCAACACAGAAGGGCCATTTGGTGCTGTAGGATAAAGCACTGGACTGCAAGTTCGGTTTGAACCACAAGGTTGGCAGTTCAAACTCACTAGCTACTCCTTGGAAACCCTATACAGGGTCATTATGAGTCAGAACCAACTTGACGGTACTAAACAACAAGAATTTAAATTATAAAATCCACTCCATATTCACTGCCGAAATTCAGTTGAAAGAAGGGTAATAAACCCAACTTTATTAATAGTAATTTACCTGATATTCTTTCTCTAGCACATTTACAAATGTGTTCTTAGTCTTCTAAATGTCACAAATTTGATTAACATTCATGATATTTGGCACAACCTCTTTCCTAAAAATCATTTATATAGCACACAAACCACTTTATGTAGCACATCTATATGGAGTCCTGGTACAGCCCTATGCGCACTGGACCGAAAGGTCGGTTTGAACTGCAAGATTGGTGGTTCAAATTCACCAGCCGCTTCTCAGACCCTATACAGGTTGCTATGAGTTGGAACCTACTCAATGGTACTTAACAACAACAACATACCTATATATAACTTTCTAGTTTATCATCACTTTGGTGATTGTAATTTTATTAATTTTTCAACTTAGGTGACATCAGGCTATTTTACCCTTCATATTGAAAAATTGATATCAAAAGACCATATGAAATTGATGACAGATTTTCCGTTCTTCTCGTCTGTTTTGAATTTAGGCCTCAGAAGTATCTAGAAACAGAGGAGCCTCCCTACTCGCCCGGCCAGGACATAGCCTCATAGCTGCTGTTCGAAGCCAACATCAACATGAGTCATTGCCATTGGGTAGGTACCAAGCTTCTTTGAATCTCTGGGTAATCAATACTTAGCCTTGTTGTTTTGTTTTTATTTTAGATCATGAATCATTTAATATTTAAGGTTCTGTATTTTCTTTCTCCTCTTTTATGGGACCATCTGCTCCCCCGCCTCTTTGTCCTTTTTTCCCCATCAGTGATTTGTTAACTCAGTACAAAAGAGTTCAAAAGAGGTGATGAATTTCATTGTGTAAGATACAGATTTCAATTCATACTTCTCTTTTCCACATATATATGAAGAACTTCTCATAGTCTTTACCCCTTACCTTAACTACCTCTTTCCAAAACATATGCTACCAGTATCAGTGAATGTGAGGTGAGAGAGTCTTAATGGATTCTGGCATTTCCATTATCAATACTGGGAAATTAACTCATGGTTATGGGTTGTTAGGCTTGAGTATTCAGGAATAGATTTCTCTGAACTCATAAACAACTATGGCAAAATGATCAACAGGCATTGGAAGACAGCAGAACTCTCCTCCTCCCTGCAAAGCTATTTTATTCTCCTTTATCTGTTTGCACAGTGATGAGTTAACTCTCAGTTAAATTCCTGGATATTAAGTATGGTAAATTTAGGTCTGGTTCACTTTTAGACTGATCTTTAAAAAATTATGATGTTATTATGTCACATAAAAAAAGCCTCAACAGCTTAATTTTTATCTCTCTTATTTTTTTGATGAGTATGCTAGCTGGTTTTCAAACTCCTAAATTAATCCTGATACCATTTCAAGCAACGATTTCCCAGTAATCTGAGAAACTATCTCTAGCCTGCAGATTCAACCACAACTCTGCACTTTTGTCTGTTTCAGCATATAATGACAAGATTGTGGCATTTCTGCGCCAGCCAAATATTTTTGAAATGCTGCAAGAGCGTCAGCCAAGCTTGGCAAGAAACCATGCACTCAGGTAGGGGATTATCCCTTGTCCCTATAACCCCAGGTCTCTGCAGCTGTTAATCCAGGTGGGAAAGCATCTCTTTAGAAAAAGAGCTGAAGCTGACCAGATATTATATTTGCACACTTAAATTATAATTGGAATCCTCAAAATGAAAGACCCAAAGAGTCTTTTATTAGTGCTCTGGGAAGTGGCACAGAATGTCATATTGTCAGACTAAAAACCAGTTTCCATAGAGTCAGTTCTGACTCGTGATGACCCCATGTGTGTCAAGGTAGAACTGTGCTCCATAGAGATTTCAATGACTGATTTTTCAGACGGAGTTCCCCAGGTCTTTTCTTCCAGGGTACCTCTAGGGAAACTAGGGTCACCAATCTTTCAGTTAGCTGCAAGAAAGCACCATAAAAGGACTCCTATTGTCAGATTACATATTATTTTTATGAAGATAAAATGATTTACCAATGGTTTTAGAGGAAAGCAGAGAAAGAAAGAAAAACATTTTCATAGAAAAATTATCTATGTAAAAAGCGTGATTTTTTTATTTTTGAAATATAATTGTGTAATGCTAAGTACAACGTGGGAGTCCTGGTGTGGCGCTGTGGGATAAAACACTGGATCACAAGGTCTATGTGAACCACAAGATTTGTGATTCAAACTCACCAGCTGCTCCTGGTGCTGGCAACTCAACAGCACTTAACAACAACAGCAGTGGACAAGAGAATTCAAGTAGTTAGGATGTGTTGTTGTTGGTAAGTGCCATTGAGTCAGTTCTAACTCATATCAACCCTGTATAGAGTTTCTCAGGAGCAGCTGGTGAGCTTGAACCACCAAACTGACTTTACAGTCCAGCTCATTAACTCACAGCACCACACCAGGACTCCTACCTAAGGATATATGTGCTCTTTTTTTCTTGCTTGTCTGTTTACTTTTGGGTAAGGTCATCCAACACTGTACTTGTTGCTGTTAAATGCCGTCAAGGCAGTTTTGACTCATAGAGACCCTGTAGAGGGTTTCTAAGGAGCAGCTAGTGAGTTTGAACCACAAGGTTCAAACTGACCTTGCTGTCCAGTGATTTATCCCATAGTGCCACACTAGGATCATCTATAAGTGAGTATCTCTGATGTTCTAGATCAGTTTTTCTGGAAGGAAAGCAACAACCCAAAGTGTTGATAAGAAAAAAATATTGCTGAACTGAAAGATATTCAAAGATCTCTGACCTTCAGCTGACTACCTAACACCTTTAAGGCTGGAGGTGCATGGTGGTTAAGAGTGTGTCACTTGGAGATTGAATTCTTTCTTGCTTAACCACTCATGGCCATGATCACGGCATGTCATTCATTCCTTATGATGACTCTCATGTCCTGGATGACCTCAGAAACTGACTGTGGGACCATGGAAGGGAAAAAGTAGAAAGACAAAAACAAGAGCTTTGCTCTTCAGGGGATGAAGCCTCAGGGAACCAGGAGACTGGGCACTGCTGCTTATGATAGGCATTTACCTGTCCCTGAACCATGATATGAGGCTGAGTCTACACCATTCTAAAGGGACAAGAGATCAAAAGAAAACCACCTTTCCCTGCCACCTTGTTCCGGAATAGAACGTATTACTTCTTCTCAAAGTTGGATCATGATACCATTTAATGAACTTGACCTACATCTATGGATGCAGTAGTTCAAAAGAAGGAACAAATCCTTACAGCAAGGATCATTCCCACCCCCTCCATACACAGAGTAGACAGGGATGGGTAACTTGGACATTGGCTACCCAAAATGGGGGGGGGAGGGGCTACAAAAGCAAGAAGTGACTGGCTTACAAGCTTTCAAGAGGAACCTAGATTCAGAGGGTGTGAAGAAAAGCAGACTCTCCACTGAATAGTATGCAATCTGTCTAAGCGGAGCTGATGAAATGAAATGCGGATGAGTCTCGTGTGATAAAGTAGCGAATAATTGTTATCAGGACTGCTTATGAGGGTTGGAAATATAAAGGTAGACGTTTTGTAGCAAGGAGGGGAGTGATTAACTCTTCAGTCTAGGAGTGGAGGTGCCTGGGACCATCAAGGGAGAAGAACGGAGAGCAGGACCCTACCCAGAGAAGCAGTGATGCCAGAGATGGAGGTAGAGATGATGACGTGGAAAGATAGAGCAGCTGGGGACTTTCGACACAGAGACGGAGAGGGGCTGTGTGTTGACGACCGGGGCCACAGGCTTGTAGTGGATACCCTTTGGTTGGTTGTTGATGCATGGAGGGGATTGTAACCATGGCAATGAAACGATATATGATAGGATGAATGTAAAACTAATGTTCTCCCATGTAAACTATCACAGAATTCACAATAAAATATTTAAAAAAAAAAAGTTGCATTATCACAGTTTAATCCCATTTCATGTAGTTTTGCAGAGGCCCCAAATTTTCCTTTCTTTCTTAAAAACAAACAAAAACAAAGCCATACCAAAGAACTGAACCAATTATATTTTGTCCCAAAATAGTCTGTCTATAATGAAGAATTGAATTGTTAATACAAGAGGGCTTTAAAAAGTTTGTAAAAAAAAATGGAATGAAAAATTTCCATGAACTTTTTGAAGCTCCCTCATATAGTCAGAGAGGAATAATTTGAATTTGCAGTATTAGTGAAAATTGTGTTGTTGTTGTTGTTAAGTGCTGTGAAGTCGGTTACAACTCCTGTATAGGGTTCCTGAGGAGTGTAGATTCCTGAGGAGTGGCTGATGAGTTTGATCCTGAGGAGTGTAGGTTCCTGAGGAGTGTAGGTTCCTGAGGAGTGGCTGATGAGTTTGATCCTGAGGAGTGTAGGTTCCTGAGGAGTGGCTGATGAGTTTGATCCTGAGGAGTGTAGGTTCCTGAGGAGTGGCTGATGAGTTTGATCCATCAACCTTGCAGTTCTTGTATTTGTTGTGGTCCGGTGCATAATCGAAAATTACTACACTAGGACTCCAAAACTGAAAAAAGACTTTTAAAAACTATACTTAGGTTATCATTGAGGAAAACTGAATGAAGCTTATAGATATTATTTCTTATAATACAAGTGAATCTAAAATTATCCTGAAATAAAAATTTAAACAACAACAAAAAAAAGTTTAAGCATTAAAAATAAATCAATCCTTAAAATCTTTTCAGGTTTCTGCTAAATATTATTAAGTGCCATCCAGTCAGTTCCTGGTAACGTAGTGGTTATGAATAGGACTGCGAACCTTAAGGTCAGCGGTTCGAAACTACCAGCCGCTCCACGGGAGAAAGATGAGGCTTTCTACTCCCGTAAAGATTTACACCCTCGGAAACCCTGTACAGGGTCGCTATGGGTCGGACCCGACTCAATGGCACTTAACAACAACAACAACAGGGTGGAAGGTCAGAGAAAAGAGGAAGACCCCCAGCAAGATGGATTGGCAAAGTGGCAGCATCAATGGACTCAAGCGTGACAACAATTGTGAGGTTGGCCCATGACTGGGCAGTGTTTCATTGTGTTGTGCATAGGGTCGCTATGAGTGTGGTGGATTACTGGTGTGGTGCTGCATGATAATGCATTGGATTGCAATGTTAGTTTAAGCCACAAGGTCTTCAGTTCAAACCCACCAGCCACTTCTTGGAAACTCTATACAGGGTTACTATGAGTTGGAATCGACTCAATGGCAATTAACAATATAACAACAATCTTTATGAGAGGACTGCTGGTGTGGCACTGTAGGATCAGCCCTAGACAGTGAACCAAAAGGTCAGGTTGGCAGTTCAAACCCACCAGCTGTTCTTTGGAAACCCTGTAGAGGGTCTCTATGAGTCAGAACCAACTTGACAGCACTTAACAACAACAATTTTCATGGGAACAAATTGCCAGGTCTTTTGTCTTGCAGATCTGGTGGGTGGGTTTGAATCACCTACCTTTTGGTTAATCACTGCATCACAAGGGCTGAGAGAGAGAGAAAGAGGAAAAGAGAAATTTATTTTAAGGATTGTTGTTGTTGTTGTTGTTATGTGCCGTGGAGTCGGTTCCGACTCATAGCGACCCTGTACACGGTTTCCGAGGCTGTTAATCTTTACGGGAGCAGAACGCCTCATCTTTCTCCCGCGGAACCGATGGTAGTTTCGAACTGCTGACCTTACGGTTCGCAGCCCGATTCGTAACCACTACGCTACCAGAGCTCCTGCAATTGTGCTGACCAGTTAAGTTCAAGATTTGTAGATCAGGTGACACCTGGAAATTCTAGGTCTTAGATCCCAAACCAGTGAGGGAGGAAGAGAAATTCTGGTCAAATGACTATTTAGAATCTGGAGACAGAATCTTCCCTTAGGAAGCCTCCAGTGTTGCTCGTAGGACTTTATCTGATTGGACAAGGCCTGCCCACATTATGGGTGATGCCCTGCACTGCCAAAGTCCTACTGATTTAATAACATGCAGCTATTTCATAACAGCAGCTACACCAGTATTTGACCAAACAACTGGGCCCATCACGTTGACACATGAAATAACACTTAGTTGTGTGTGTTTTTTTTTCGTGCATAATTCTTTATTTTCTTTCCTACATTATCCTAGGGAGAAAATCCATTATATTCGGACTGAGGGTAATCATGGACTTGAAAAGCTGTCCTGTGATGCAGACCTAGTCATTTTACTGAGGTAAGGGGCTAAGCCTTACATGCTTCTGAAACAGCATCTGGAAAAACATCTTCCCTGGGCAGTTCTTCTCCCACACAGCCCCAGTTAAAGGAGCAGGAATGGGAACATCTGATGCGGCTTCAGTGGGGATTCCACACTTGTATCTCCTGCTACCATGTTCGCGACATTAAAACTGGGGTTTCAAGAACTACATACAGTACTTGACAAAGACTTTGCCATGTGATCAGGAAAACTTCGAATGTGCAAGCTGGCTATGCTTGTCTTTTTCATTCGGATCACTTTTGTTGCTTAGTGGGAACTGTAACTGCTAGTTTCCCAATACCTGAGCATTTCCTCATGGCCAGAGAACTAACTTTTTTCTTTTTGTATTTACTTTTAGTCTTTTTGAAGAAGACATTATGTCCTATGTCCCCCTTCAGACTGCCTTTCACCCTGGGTACAGCTTCTCCCCTCGCTGTTCACCGTGTTCCTCACCTCAGAACTCCCCAGGTAACTGAGCTTGGCTGCTAACTGAAACATTGGCAGTCCACCTAGAGGTGCCCAGGAAAAAAAGGTCTGGAACTCAGCCAAAGAGAATCCTATGGAGCACATGGGGTTGCCCTAAGTCATGGTCACCTCCACTGGATTACTGGGTTAAGTGGTCATTTCTCTTTCTACAAGATTAAGGTGACATGAAGGACAGTTGTGTGTACGTCTTCTCTCCCTTCTTCCTTCCCTGTCTCAGTCTTGTGGTCAGAAGCCCACCATCAAAATCAAATGTCACCAAATTGTTGCCTGTTTTTGTATAGCATGGGTTTTATATTTTTAATTGTTGAAAAACAATTTTTCAAGAGCAATATGTCATGGCACAAAAATCTATGAAATTCAAATTTTAGTATCCGTAAAGGAAGTTTTATTGAAACCTAATCACCCCGGTTCTTTCATGGGCTGCTTTTGTGTTACAACAAAGGAGTTGAGTAATCACACAGAGGCCATACGGCAGACAAAGTGAAAAACACTGACTGTCTGGCTCATTAGCTTACTGACTGCTGTCCTAAATTGCTACTGCAATCCAAAAGCAGTCTTTAGACTCTTAGAAGGAAGGACAATTTCTGGAAAATTCTGCCTTACAACTCAGACTTTCTTTTGATTCCAGTTTTGGTAATTTTTTTTTTTTTTTTTTAAGTTGCTAAGGGGAACAAGTATGGTAGAGTACATTACTCATTATAGAAAAAATAATATTTTACGTAATCCCATTCCAAATAAGAGCTCATCTGTTTCAGGGGGAAAAAAAATGAAGATTTTAGTTCCTGGATTTATCAAGATATTTAATTACATTAGGTCAAATCTATCTATTCAAAATGGACCAAGGTATTGGAACTTTCACCTGGTTGTTTGCTTTGCATCATTATATTGCTGTATGTCTGTAGTAACCCGTATTTGTCTTTATGACTAAAGCTTAAAATGAAAGAGTTTGGTTTGCAAAATCTATGAACTCCCCATCTTACTACTTCTAGAGTTAGGGTACAAACTTGTCTTATAGAACCAATGTGCAAAGCCAGAAAATTGCAGAATGTAGCAATATGCTAAACATTCCTATCCTCAGAAGAGATGTCTTCCTCAGAGTTAGTATCACTCAGTGCTTCCATATGGCTCTGAAATTGGAATATCTTTTTATTTTAGTTCCACTGTGTCATATCATTCAGAACTGTGCTTTAGAGGTCACTTGCCAATTACTAAAATCTGTTTGTAAAGGCAGTAACTCCTTGTTGCCACTTCCCAAAAGGCATCATTGGTGGCTCTCTACAATAAGCACTGGACTGGGAACCACAAGATCTGTGGTTCAAGCCCAATGACCACTCCATGGGAGAAAGATGAGGCCTTTGCCTCAGCAAACATGTACAGCCTCAGAACCCTACATATATATATATAGCGTCACTATGAGTCAGAACCAACCCGGTACTCAACAACAACAATGCATGAGGTCTCTGACTCCAACAAAATTAGGATCCTAATTTTCTTTTCTTGGAGTCTGGCAAATGGAAGACCAGGGGCTCCGTCAGAACAAGCATTAGGACATTACCCATATGCATAGTGTGAATCACTTTTGGGGAACAAACTTGTCTGTTTGAGGGAGCTGCTGTTGCATGCTGACCTGCGCTTTTATTATGGACATTGTCCTCACCTGAGAAGGTGTCTGCATTTTGCCCACAGCCTATGTCTGTGGAGCATAATTGTAACAATATTATATGGAAAGATATTATATTTCAAATAGAAAAATAAGAGAGCGTGAAGAGTTATCTGGAGTCCTGGTGTGGCACTGGACCACAAGGTTGGTTTGAACATTAAGGTTGGCAGTTCAAACTCACCAGTCCCTCACTTCTCAGAAACCCTATACAGAGTTGCTGTGAGTCAGAAACAACTCAACACCACTTAACAAAAACAACATTTCAATTTTTTTAAAGGGAACAGATGGTATTTAAGAATAGAGTATGCATGTTGCACTGATCATAAATGAACCTTAAGATTCAGTAAAGATTTCTGCTTAGCACTTTTGCATTTGGCATTTTGTTGTACTAGAAAGGACAAAGTATTTTCAATGATGACAATATTATCGCTAAACCAAATGTCCTTCCTTCCATCTAATTTGCCTGAATACTTGACATCTTTCTGTTTTGTGGTATTTCATTAACCTGGGAAAACTGAAATTGCCTTGAGGATTGTGAGGGCTCATAATCATGATGCTGATTAAGCTTTTTAAATTATTTTTCTGAGGAAATAGCTAAGGACTAATTAACAACAACAAAGAATTACCTGCTAAATGAAGCAATAAACTCTTCTCATATGTGGCTGTTGTTAAGTGCCATCGAATCGGTTTCAAATCATAGCAACCCTGTAGTGTTTCCAAGGATCCACTAGTGAATTCGAACCACCGATCTTATGTTTCAAGCCAATCTTGCTTGATCCCACAGCACCGCATATTGTTAATGCCCTGAATCCGAACCGTCTTTCATTGTGATTTGTCAAAGGGCTTAATTCTTTATTCTCCAAGGTTGGACCACATAGTCTTAGGTTAAGTAACCCATATATTTTGATAATGACTTTGTAATTCTCTTTATCTGAACTGTTTTACAAAGCATAAACTGTTAGACAAATGCATTGTAGCAATGGCCATCGGAATAGTCATAATAGGTTCCTTAATAAAAATCATAGTATTATAAAATATTATGCACTGCACACACACCCAATTAGACTTGTACCTTTAGACTTGTACAGGTACCTGTGTGCCTTAGCAGGGACCTGCAGTTCTGTGGAGGACACTTGTTGTTTTCATTGGTGCCTCTTGGTCCCTTTACACCCCAGGTCCTGCAGGGTGCAGAGGTGCAGCGGGTGTTCTCCATGTTTCCTTGCTTTCAACACTCAGATGTATCACCTTTTTGTCTTTCTTCTTGTCCCTGTCATCTACTGTTGTAGTAACTTAGCATTACCATAACAGAAATACCACAAGTGGGTGGCTTTAAGAAACAGAAGTGTACTTTCTCACAATTCAGAAGGCTGAAGTTAAACAGAGGGTATGACTCTAGGGGAAAGCCCTTCCTCGTCTGTTTCAGTTTCTAGTAGCTGCCAGCATCTGGCTTTTTTCCCCCCTATGTGTGTCTCTGTACCTATTCTGCTCTGTTTAAAAAGAAGTGATTCAGTTTAGAACCTCCCCTACACTGATATGGACTCATTAGCATAACACAAGAAAACCATTTCCAAACAAGGATGTATTTTATAGGTGCAGATACTAGGGTTTCAACACATATTTGGGGGTAAGGGGATACAGTTGACTCTCTCCCCCTTAATTGCCTTCAATTAGCTTCTGTGGTACCACTCTAGGCATTCCATCTGCTTTCTGTCCCTATCTTAGGCTGATTCTTCTCTTCTTACTACTCACAAGATTCAGTCCTAAGTTTTCTTGTTTTCCACCTTAAACTCTGTCTCTTCCCAATCAAACACAGAAGGGCAGACTCATGACCTTCCTCCACAAATGTGTTATTCCATCGTTCCACATCTTGTGAATATTTCCACAGTCCAATCAGTTACAGAAGTCAGAAAACTACCTCTCCCTCACTACCTATAATCGAATCCAGTGCCCCCTACATACTTCTCCAATATGTCCACTTCTCTGTGTCTCCCTCGCTGAGTTATGGCACCATCCCGGTTTGTTTGAATTCCCTAAATTTCCTCTGGTTTCTTCATTTGTCTTTTTTTTTTTTACTGCAGAAAAATTGTTGTCATAACTCATCACATCATATCAGCCTCCTATAATGTCTTCCTATTGTTTTTAAGATAAAACAAAATTTCTAAACAAAGTGCACCTCATCCTGTTTGGTCTGCTCCTTCCCACCTCTCATACTTTGGTTTGTATTACTCTGCCTCTCAAACCCCAGGCTTCAGACAAATTAGAACACTGCATCCCATTCTGCCATAGGACCTTTGCACATATTAATCCTCTACCTGGCTTGCTCTTGTTCCTGCTCATCTATTCTCTTAGTTAAAGAGAAGCCTTCAGCCTAATTCACACCTACTCATTCTTCAGATCTTTCTCAGGGAAGCTTTCCCATACTTGGTCAGTGTTCTCTGATCTCAAACTAGCTTCCTTTCCTTCATAGGTGGTAATTAACTCAGTTTGTAATTATATAATGATTTCTTTTCATTATAAACTAACTGATAAACTCTGAATTTATCAGTACCCATCTTCTCTAGATTATAAACTCGGTATCTGGAATATAGTGAGGGACTATTATTATTACTGTAAATTTTATTATTACTTATTATATTTTTATTTTATAATACAAGGTAGCCTAATATAAACCCCTAAATGCTCTGGGCCCTAATGGACACGTATGCTTATTTTAGTACTGATAATTACAAAAATATGAGAAACACATATATCACAATTCTAGTTGCCATATTATAGTTACAATTCACTTCTTATAGGAAATGGCAAAAAAAAAAAAAAAAAAGCTTAGTCTAGTTTGGTTTGAGCTAATAGATTATCCAAATATAATCAAACAAAGAACAAAGTTCACACAGGCATTTTAAAGGTACAGATATCTTGCAATAATTGGAGTGGAAAACAAATATTTCCCATCAGAATCATTTTGCTCTTTATTGCATGATTCTGTTTATTATAAAATTAACTTAAGAGATTGATGGAAATTAGGGGATACTTCTTGGAGAAGAAAAATATGAAGATGCAGGAAAATACCTCTTGTCAGCGCCAATACAGGTGACCCTACCCTGTGATTTTTCTCTGCAGGCTTACAAAGAGCCAGTGCAAGAGCCCCTTCACCATACCGGAGAGACTTTGAAGCCAAGCTCAGAAATTTCTACCGGAAACTGGAAGCCAAAGGATTTGGTCAGGGTCCAGGGAAAATTAAGTGAGTGCTCCGGGGGTTGGCCCAAAATTCAAATGGTAATTTTTCTATCCCATTCTCATTGTTGGAGATTAATATCCTGCTGGATTAGCAGCTATGCTCACAGAAAGGAGGAAGAAAGTTGGAAAGAATTAGAAGAAAGGAAGTTAAAAAACTGGAAGAGAGGCTAGAAGGGAAGACAGAGAAAGAACAATAGATTTCAGACAGAAACATATATAAACTAGTCACAGGGGAAACAGAAACCAAATTTTAAAAATCTAATATTTACTTTCACTTATTCGTGAGGCAAAATTTAACTCATTAGTCAAATGCATGTAACTTTATAATTGGAGTCCAAATAAAAAGTTATTCATTGTTTTCCTTCTGAGTTTATTGTTCTCATGTATAAGTAAGTGTCAAACCTGAACCTAGGAATATGGCTCAAGAGATATCCCCATGAGTTGACCACAAATTCTTTTAAACATAGCCCAGTATGAGAGAATCCATTCAATTATAAAAGTATCTATGTTTTCTTTGAAGGTTTCCTTGAAGTATCCATGTTTGAGAAGGTTGTTAAAATAAGTTCCTTACTGAATTGGGTTCTTGCCTGCTCATCTCTCATTAAGCATGCACTGCTTACATAGAATGCAGCTGAGTATCAGAGCCTCAGAGCCACTGCCCACCACCCATGGTGCTGCTTCTCCTCCCCAGGCTCATTATTCGTCGGGACCACTTGTTGGAGGGGACCTTCAATCAGGTGATGGCCTACTCCCGGAAAGAGCTCCAGCGAAACAAGCTCTACATCACCTTCGTTGGAGAGGAGGGGTAAGGCAGCATCCCTATAAGGCAGACACACCAGGGTGGAGGCAAGCCAGAGAGAGACAAGGACCATGGAGGGCTTTCCTCCAAAATGAACAAGATGGTGGCTCTAAGACTTTTGCCCAAGGTGATTCTGGCCATGTCCTCCTAGGAGGTCTTTCTCTCACCAGGTATTTTCAAGTTAGAGGATTCTGTTCTTCTAAACTTTAAGATTCGTGTCACATGTGAGCATCTGAGACCACATATCCAAAGAATAAGTCAAATCCCAACCTGATGTCACTGGATTTTAAATTTTTCCATAAAGATACTCTTCTGTATAGCTGCATGTTCATCCCTATAATCCACACATACCAACTACATATCAACATTTTCATATCATCTCAGAAGTTTTATAGAAAATATCTCAATGTGCAAGGCAAACTCTCCTAAAATAGCGTATCAGAGTGATATGCTATTTGAAGTTTTGCTGGCTCACATACAGACCCATGCATACATTCAGTGTCAAAGGAAATGATTTCATGCCGCTCACATACTCAGGTCCCTGTTTTTGATGGGCCAGCTGTGTGTATTTCATCCCATAAGTGTGATGTGATTGAAAAAGGGTTAAGGAATGACGAGTGGTGCTAGTAAAAGCCCATTCATGTACATCTTCTGAGCATATACTGAGCTTCTGGGCCTCTACTTCCTTTGCAGCCTGGACTACAGTGGTCCTTCCCGAGAATTCTTCTTCCTGCTGTCCCAGGAGCTCTTCAACCCTTATTATGGGCTCTTTGAGTACTCTGCAAATGACACATATACAGTGCAGATCAGCCCTATGTCTGCATTTGTGGAGAACCATCTTGAATGGTAAGACCTTTAGCTTTCGCTTTATTATTTGACATTTCCAGTCTTTCTGAGTCAGAAGTCAGCATTATTTCTTGAGGTCCACTATGTTGAGAGCAGTGTATGGACTTTTAGGAGGTATATTGAGAGTGAATGACAAAACTTTAATAGGAAGGTCTCTGTTAGTCTTCACCCAGAATACAAAAGAAATGATTGCAGACTTTGATGATGCATCAAGTGCAAATTGATGTAACATAATAGTGTACATGGTGAATGTTGATAATACTATCAAAATCATTAAAGTCCCTAATGGAGGCTTTGGGAGCAAGTCATGGTGCAGAGAAAGGACCATCCAGAGCTTGGGCAGACACTGACATCAGCTTCGGCATCTTACTGTAAAATAAGGCTGTTAGGCCAGGTGACCTCTTAAGCAGCTTTTATGGATTGAATTGTGCCCAGAAAATATGTGTTATATGTCCTAACCTAGGCCTATGGTTATGGTCTCATTTTGGAATGAGTTGTCTTTGTTATATTAATGAGAAGGTTCATAGACGATATATTTTGAGTCAATCTCTCACAAAATATTAAAGAGGAGCAAATTAATGAGGTGGGGGGTAATTGGTGCACAGACACATGAAGATCAGATCATTAGAGTGGAAACTCAAAGAAAAAGAACCTTCCTTAAGAGACAATAGAGGAACCTCAGCAACCTAAGACAGAGCCATTGCCATGCTGCAATGAGTTTCGATGACGGGTAAGACTGAGGAATTCGCACTGACCGCCTAAGACAGGCAGCGTCCCTTAAACAAACAATAAATAAGGGGGAATCTGATGCAGACCGTGCTGACCCGGTCAGGAGGTCAAGACCCTGTGGGCCCAAGCGTTGTTGACCGTCCAAACAATAGGCTCTGAGGATCAGACTTTAGCCACCTAGTAGACATAGCAAACTGTCCCTCATCTGATTATTCAGTAATGCTTGTTAGTAATCTCATACATGAGCCCTGGATATCCACAGACAAACGTAAAAACCTTCCCTAAAAGCCGAGACTGTAAATTCCAAAAAGGCAAGTTCCCCTGCCCACCCACCTCCCCCCAAAAAAGCTAAAGAGGATAGAGAGAAACACTGTTAACTGATGATATATGGAGGGGATAATAATCAATGTAATGAAACAAGCTATATGAATGGTTGAATGTGAAGCTGATGATGTGCCCTGTAAACTTTCACTCAATCCAAAATAAAAACATTTAATTAAAAAAAAAAAAGAGAGAGAGAGAGAGACAATAGAAAGAATGCCTTCTCCTAGAGCCAGCTTACCGAATTCATACTTCCAGTATTCTAACCTGTGGGACAATACATTTCTGTTTGTTAAAGCTCCCCACTTGTGAATTTCTGTTATAGCAACACTAGAAAACTTAGACAGCATCCTTTTGACTCTAGAATCCAACCTTTTTTTGGTTCTTTCTCATTAAGACGTTCTACTACTATTTACTGATGTATGTAAAAAGATTGTATGTATTGATCAATCATGGGCAGTTTTGGGGGTGAAACCTCATATGTAGGTGTTAGAAATATCCAGACAGCTAGGGGCTCAGGACTCTATTTATGTAACCATTTTTTGCCTCCATCACAACCACACTGGCTGAAAAATCACCCCTGCTTTTTCTACAGAAGCCCTGCTATGAAAAGGAAAATGAGTCCTGGATATGCTTACTGTGGGTTCTTATCTGAAATTGTTTATTATATTGTGTTCCTGGTGTTGGGTTGCTTCTGGGTGGTCCCTGGGGGTTGTTGGACTTAGGGTTCTTGTACTTTGGTTTTCCAGCATCGATGTAACCTAATCTTGTGTAATGTTTGTAGTTATTACACATGCCTTCTCTCTCCAAACACATGCATGGCTCTGAAGTTCTGGAACCGAGACAGGAGTGTATCTATACCAGTTATTTGGCATAAGTGCTGAAACAAAAGTTAACCTT